ACGGTAAGCAGGCGAGTGAAAGACAGAGAGAGAGTTTTCATATGTGAGACATTAGTGACGTTTAGCGTGTTTGGAGGCTGTAGTTAGTGTGTTGTGTAGTTATTGTCTTGTATTGTGTGTCAGTTATACTGCTGAATTTCCTATTTGCTCTAAAAAAGGCATCAAAGGTAGATTCCAGTGTAAACGCTGTTTAAAACTGGACTGATGCACCTCCTGCTGTCAGACCTGCAGGGTTTAGGCCTGTGGTGTTCTCCTCTGTCTTATACTGAACACAAACTACATTTTTTGGACTGGCACAAATAATTTGTGTGCCTTCTTATTTGATGCAGAACACCTGATTGTTCTGTAAATAGATTTAAATGGTTATATAAAAAACGCCTGAGGCCTTGGCTGCATTTTTAGGTAAATAGTACAATATAACTTTGTTGTTTGCAAAACTTGTGCATAATTTTTAGAAATGTACAATTTCTATTTGCATTTCAAGTTATGAAAATTATTCGTTAAACATGTTTGAGGGTTTTACACTTTTTTCTACTCGGATTTTGAATTTTTTGTCTGAATTTAGATCAACTGTGCTAATATAGTATACCAAAATGAAAAAATAACTCAAATTTCAGACATTTGAGGTTGTGGTGAAAATAATAATAGAGAAAAACAAGAAAAACATATTTTAAAGGTGAAATATAGAGGTAAAATCAAAAGTAGTCAAAAAACGGCCAATTATACCCTGGACCCCAGAGGGTTAATATTTGAGTAAACATGATCCAAGGTGTTATTTTCTCTCGTAGGGCATTTCACATGTTGTACAAATTTAGGCAGCACAGTTCTTAAGCATGCTCTGTTAAAATCCCCTGCAATGATATGTACCCCCTCTCGGTATGTCCGTTGCTGTTCGGAGATAATGTCGTGCAGGTATGCAAGGGCTGAGCTAGCATTAGCGTCTGGTGGTATGTAGACTGCTGTTATTAGCACTGCAGGCAGTTCTCTGGGCAAGTAGAAAGGTCTGCACATGACAGACATTGCCTCTATGTCCAGGGAGCAGACTGTGGTGATGATCTTAGTGTTTGTGCACCAGTTGTTATGTGTGTAAAATGCACAAACCTCCTCCTCTGCTTTTCCCCGCTGTAGCCTTTCTGTCGCTGCGGTGCATTGTGCGGCCCGCTAGCCACACGGAGGCGTCGGGAATTCCCTCTCGTAGCCAGTGTTGGGTGTAACGCGTTACTGTATTTAAATTACTTTTCCACTGAAAAAGTAGAGTAACTAATTACTGTTCATTTTTAGGTATTTTAAATACAGTTACTTACAATGTACTTGCATTACATTGTAAAATAACTAAACTCGCTGAAAATCATTATTTAATTTCAATAATTTATCTTCTAAAGGTAAAAATAAACTCTGCCGCTTTAACATCGTTGTAGTGCAGCTGTACGTCATTTCGCGCCAGTTTGCCGCATAGTCGTATTCTACAGTGGAAGATGTCGGACTCGGCTGAAGCGAGGGCCTGTTTTATGAAATGGAAATATTCCCGTCACTTCACTTTTCTAAAACAAGCAGACAAGAACATTACGGTAATATGTAAGCTATGTCCTGGGGAGAAAAAATTATCGGCCGCTGTCAATAGCACGAGTAATCTGCTGAAGCACCTGACACGGCAGCACAGACAAAGCCTTCTGAGTGAGCCATCTTCATCATCCATGGATAACACTGCAGCAACTCCTGCTAAGCAGACGAAACTTGATTTCACTTCAGCAACACAGAAAGTGTCTGAAGGTGAGCTTAAAAAAATGATTGTAGGCTATGTTGTGGAAGAGATGCTACCGATGCTACCGCTGCGTACTGTAGAGTCTCCGTCTTTTAGGTGCATATTAAACAAAATACCTGTGTGTGGCAAAAAAGCAGCACTGCATGATCGAAAAACGTTTTCTACTTACTTAGATAAGTGTTATGCTGACATGGAAATACAGCTTAAAGAGACGTTCGAGAGTTTGGAATATATTTCCAGGACTGCTGACATTTGGACCAGCCATAACAAAAGTTTTCTCGGAATGACGGCACACTGGATTGATCCTTCTACTTTTGTACGAGGACATGCAGCGCTAGCATGTAAAATAGTTCGAGGGAGACACACATGTGATGTCATCGGCAATGAAATCGAGCAAGTACATTCGGCTTATGGACTGAACTCTAAAGTGACAGCCACCGTGACAGACAACGGTTCCAATTTTATCAAAGCTTTTAGAATGTTCCAAAAATCAGACTCTGATTAGGAATTGGAAGAAGATGAAGAGGTGACATTTACTGATGTTGAGCAGACCCTCTCCACAGAATCTGAAGGACGGTTTTCTCTCCCTCCACACTTAAGGTGTGCATCACACACACTGAACTTAATTTTTCATGATGTTGAGAAATGGCTTCAAGCAAATGAGGCAAAATTCATCTACAGAAGTGCAACTTCAAAGTGTTCTGCAATGTGGACAAAAGCAAACCGTTCTTCTGTTGCTTCAGAGTTGGTAGATAATTTTTTCAAGAAAAAACTCATAGTACCTGTTTCAACACGATGGAATTCATTTCACGATGCTCTGTCCAGGATCACTGATCACTCCCATTGCTGAATTAAATACTGTCTGCACTCAGTTTGGAATCAAATGCTTCACTGATCGGGAGTATCTGTTCCTAAAGGAGCATTGTATCGTGTTGAAGTCACTCACTGTTGCACTAGACATATTGCAAGGAGAAGAGAACTGCTATTTTGGAATCCTTCTTCCAACTCTGGAGATTCTAATGTCCAGGACGCTGGCACTGCAGGATGAGCTTAAGCTGACAGCATCCCTCCCTGATATCATTGTTAAGGTAATCTATATATAGCCTTACCCTAAAATAATTTTTTGTTTTATTTATCATGCTCTTATGTGAAGTGTTTGATGTATTTTTTTCTCATAGGCGATCAAGGTGCGCTTTTCCTCAATGATGGACAATAAAGAAGCTCTCCTGGCTGCAGTCACTTTGCCTAAATTTAAGTTACGCTGGATCAGAGAAGAAGAGAAAAAAGACATGGTTAGGGCAATGCTTACTACAGAGTGCCGTGGGTTGTCTCTTGAAGACCAACAACCTGCTCAAGATCACAAGAACCCTGCTAACTCCACTGATGACTTTTTTTCATTTGAGGAGGACGACTGTACCTACTCTGCTGAAACAGAGGTGATGGAATATTTGAAATCTGCTGGGTGTTAGCTGGGTGTTCTTAGCCAGTTTCCCAGGATTAAGGCCATTTCACTGAGGTACAACACAGCCACACCATCAAGCGCACCAGTCGAAAGGCTTTTTAGCCTCGGCAATCTTGTGCTTACACCCAGAAGGAACAGACTGTCAAGTGAACGCTTTGAGAGACTTACATTAATGAGATACAACAACTTTTTCAAAAACAACACAGCTAAGTAGTACAAAAAATGTTTTGGAAAACATGAGTGCATACAGCATGCAGGAAATATGGTGCTCATTGGTTTGAGGAAGTTTCAGAGAAATTCTGTTTGTTAACCAAAGTTCAGAGTTAACTTCACTTTGTTGAATCACATGACATGAATATGTTACTCATTGCTTTGAAATGTAAAAATTTTAATGTTTACTGCGTGAAATATGTCATGTATAACATTTCTTAAGTTAAGCTTTTTTGTTATTCAGATATGTTGCAGAAAAATATATTTGTTTTTCTGGAATTGTGTTTCTTAGCTAAAGAAAGTTACATTCCTTACTAAACTGTTTACTGTTTTTTTTTTTGTAGAATGTAATAAAGATGATTCAGGAAGAAAAAGGCTAAACTATTTCATGTTGACTCGTATTTTTTCAAAAATTATTTATTATTTAAAGAGTTTAATTTCTATTGTTTGTCCACTCAAGGTTTATGGGGATTTTAATAAGTTAGTTAAATTACTTATTGAGTAATTAAGTTACTTTTCAGACACAGTAATTAGATAAGTATTTTTAAATACAATATTGATTAAGTAATTAGTAATAGTAATTAATTACTTTTTTAAAGTAACTTACCCAACACTGCTCGTAGCCATGTCTCCGTGACGACCAGGACACAGCAGTCGCGGACGATTGGCTGTGTGGCGAGAAGTAGGTTCAGTTTGTCTATTTTGTTGACGACCGACCGTGCGTTGCTCAGAAAGATGCTCGGGAGCGGTGGTTTGAAAGGCTGCCTCTTTAGCCTGGCTACCAGGCCCGACCGGCATTCCCGCTTTTGTTTGCGTTCCTTCCGCCACCTGCGTTTCTTGGGAGAGCCGATAACAATCCACGGAGCACCCGATGTTTTCTTTATCTCCGGTGGGATGTTGTGCACCCTCTGATAATCACTGATAATGGGGATCTGGCTGTTATATCCGATCTTGCATAATTCCAGATGGTTGTAGGAAAATTTGGCTTCACAATAAGGAAAACAAAAGAAGAAGAAAAAGAGGTGAAACGAAAAAAAAAGGCACCTAAGTGGAGAGCATAGAGCTGCTGCGTCTGTGCGTGCCGCCATCTTGCATGGTTGGGATTACCCCTATCATGTCGTTAGCATTAGGTTGTTCCAATTTTTAGAGCATTAATCTTCTCTTTTCTTAAGCCCTTATCAATTCTCCTACCCTTCTTTCCTTGACCTTGATGATGATTTCACCAAGGTCAATGAAAAGAGGTTTAGAAGAAGAGAGTGGAGGTACTTTTGGAACACTTCTAGTGTTTCATAGCATCTCTGCTTCGTAAGCTCAGCATTGTCAAAATGTTCAGTATCAAGCATCCCATGCAGACTTTTTAGTATTTGGGATTTTTAAATTCCTACTTTTTTGTTTCTTCCTGAACTTTGTAAACTCAAGTTGAATGGCCATTTTTTTAACTTGCCGAGACACTGGGTCAAAAAGTGAAGGCCAGGGGCTGAACTGCTTTGCCCTGCACTTTATATTTAACTACTTGTTGGCAATTTATACATTAATCTGATCTTTGTGAACTGTTTTATGTTTCAGAATCTGTGGAGTAACAATGGGCCTTCCGTTACTTGGTCTCAGTTTTTTTGCAGGCGTAGGCGTAGGCATTGCCTTGTACAGACTATACAAAGAGTGGAGAGAAAAGGTGAGAGTGTAATCAAGATTTTTTGCAGGGGGCTGTTTTTTATGTTAAATTTCAGCTGTCAATGTACAAATTGGCATTAATATCACCTGATCCTATCAGATATTTCAAGATAATATCAGCTGATAATTTGGTTTTACCTTTATTTTCATTTTTTTAAAGACAACATATTAAGAATTATGCTTTCAAAAACACCTGTATGAAAAAACTTTACAGAGCAAGCTTTTATGCAGATGAGAATAAAGACAACTAGAAACACACTGATGTTACTTCTCACATCTCTGCAACAGAAACACTAAAACTCTGAATAAATGAGTCTGTGGACAAACAGAATGAATTGATGCTTCTTGTAATCAGATCTGTCAGGAAGGTTTTACAGTGGGAGCGACATTTCTAACAAGACAGGATAAGAAGTTTGCACAATTCTGTAGTAGTGATCATCAACTGGCAACCTGCGGCAACATCCCACCACCAGATCTTTCTGGATTCCTAGCTTTCTGTTTCTTCCAGAACTTTGTAAACTCAAGATTAAAGTGTATTTAATATCTGTCTGCCTCTGAGTCCTGCATCCAAGTACTCTATAAAACTGTGTGCCATTGCTGATCATCCGTGTGAATATGATCTATTTAACCGGTTTGTGTTTCAGAATCGTATGTATGGTCATTTTGATGATGACGATGGTACAAATCATGATGATGACAATGGTACAGATAATGATGATCATCCTGACTCAGGTGGAGGAGCATCACAGGAAGGTGAGAGTGAAATCAAAATTATTCGCAGCATCTCTTGAGATACTTTTGTTTCGCACCTCAAAGTGGATGATTACTGCAGTAGTATTCCGCAACAACATCCGACCAACCAGAACTTTCTGTCTGGACCCTAAAATATAACTGAATTCATCAACAGCATATTGAGGAAGAATGATAGTATCTGTTTCTAGCACTTTATGTATAGTCATCTTTCTTTGTCCTGTACCACCCCCAGATCCTTGCTCTGATCCTTTTTGACTATAATTCTGGATCTGATTCTGCAAGCCTCTCCTCTTCCTTTACCCACTTTGTTTACCTAGTGCTTCTTTGTATCAGGTCTCACAAGAGACACTAGTCCACTCTAATCTAGCAAGGTAAATGCAGCCACTTCAGCCCAAAGTGCCCCCTCACCTATCATCATCACACTCTTCCCTCCTCTAAAAAAAATAAGACTCATCCTCGAGTTCTACTAATATTCATATTTTTCTTATGTTGAGAGTGTGTATGTTGTGCAACTCCATGACTTTTTCTTGTGCAACTTGTTTTCTTCCTAGCTCTGTACAGGGAGACAAACAAGGTTTCAGACCATTAAATGTACGAATCTCAATGGTCCATCCACCTACTGCTGCCACATGGTATAATAACTATGATACCCTCTCCATTATCTTATAGGGGCCCTTAAAATGTCTCTTCAGTTTTAGTCTCACTCCACTTAACCTTATTCATCACCTATAAAGTAATACTGACAATTAATTCTGACATCAAAGTGTCTCTTCTGTTTACAAGTCTGTACTAGCCAACTGACATAACCACTAACTGAAGAGAACCTTTTCTGAAGCTCCATGTCTACAATTATGTCCACCCAGAGCACCATCTCCCAGTGAAACAAAACCTTATGTGGTGTACAGCCTGTGCTAGAATGCATACTAGTACAATACACCAGCATTATATAGGGCAACAGACTGTTCCAGTTTAATTTGCCTCCACAAACAAAGGCAGCCTTGTGAGCAACCCAACTGACTGAGGGTGGTGTTCTTGACTTATGAATATTTAAAAGCAGGTATAATTCCCTAAATAACATGGACTCAAAAGACCGTCATTGGTCTGAGTGACTACTAGGTTGAGCTCCAAACCTACTGACCCATTCGTCCACTAACATTTTTGCTATAGTGTGGGTCTCCTGATTAGGCAAAGCAAATGCTTCCATCCACTTTAAAAATAGTTTCAATCATCAATATTTATTTCTTCTTTGCCATAGTCTCTTGCAAGGGCCTAAAATATCAATTGCCAACCTTTCAAAGGCTTTCAAAACCTTTTTAAAACCTTTTAAAACTGCTGGAAGAAGAGGCCAAGGAAGAACAACCTGTACCACAGATGTGATATCTGAATTTGCTGGAGGCATTAGCACCAAATGAGAATCTCTCACCTGTAGTTGTGACCGCATTGAAGTGTAATTTTGCAAAGATGAGTTTTCAGGGAGATCCATCTCTTTCTTCTATAACCACACAAGGTCCCGTTATTTTATTTCATCCTTGTGCTCAGCCTACACTATCATAACTTCCATCTTGCATGGCATACATGAGGGGAACGGGCCATTGGCACTATGGGGTTAGCCGCACTTTGTTTAACTTTTGAGCTAGTGCTCCCAGAGGCAGGCAATTAAGAGAGGTCGTCTGCTTGTCATGTGCTTTACCATGCCTATGAACAATCTTGTAGCAAAATCTAACCAATTGCTTCACCTATCACACCAGCTGGCCTTCTATCCCCTTTGTGTTATTTAACCAATGCAAAGAGTTGTTATCAGTACATATGGTAAATTCTTTCCTTGTCAAATAAAGCTTTAATTACATAATCAAAGTAACCATACTCAAAAGCTCTTTTTTGGTGGTGGTTTATTTCCTGTTCTGTTTCTTCAGAGCCCCATTTGCAAAGGATATAACATGTTCAATCCCATCAAGTTGGCTCAGACTTCAGCCACACACCAGTGTGTCTGAAACTGGCCTTGTGCTGGCTCATGTGTGGACCACATCTGGCAAACCAGATCTGGGCCACCAAAGGGCCACCATTCTTTGCGGTATGTGGGCCATGTGTAAGCTCATTTGTGGGCCAGATCTGGGCCATACCAGTATTGCCATGTGGGAACAGAGTCACTCACTACTCACCGAGTACACTGCTTTCTGTTGACGGTGGGTGATGGCAGACCAATTGGTGGGAGTCCCTAGCAGCTCTGGGGGCCCCCGAGAAAGAGTGTTCATGCTCTGGAATTAGCACTTTCACTTTACACTGTTAAGGTAGCGTCAGTGCTTCGTTATCCAATCCATTCCAGTTGTTCACAGGGGACATCCACATTACTGAAAATCCAGTCCTCGTTTTCACTGCTACTTTACACTCCACTTGTATACACCTGCGGACACACTAGCGTGCATGCTGCAAACAGCAAGTAATCATCAATATACGCAAGTTTTTCAAGAAAGTAAGTCTTCCTCACTGGCTGGTAGTAACAATTAGTTAGCTCCAGCTAACAGCAGAGAGTCCAATGTAATTAATGAACCAGATGCTCCCCATTTTGATAAATAAAAACCTGGCTAGCACACTAAGTTAAATTGTTAGCATAATGTTAATTTCTGTCACTCGATTTAGCTCTGAAAAATCGAGCTGAGCTCATTCAGGTATGGTTATCATCAGTGGAAATAATAATAATAATCACTCCTCAATCCCTATTAACCTGTAGGAGCCAGGGCAGAGGAGCACAGAGAGGCAGAGGAGAGAGGCCACTACTGGAGAGGTGAGTCAAAAATTTCACAGGATGGAGTCATTTGTGATGCAAACAGTCTGATTAGAATTTTATCAAACTCAATATGGATATGAAATATGAAACATTTCAGTCATGGTACAACATACAAGACCTATTTAACTTGAGCTTTTATTTAGGAGAGTCAAGGTTAGAAAGTAGAGAGCAAATATATATATATATATAAGTCAAATTAGCCTGACTCATATATTTTTGAGGGTTCTATTTTAATATTACTTCAATTCAAGTAATTTAGTAATATTTTTCAGGGCTTTAAATTGCAACCATTTTAGTCTCATGCGTGCTCAAAATGTAATGTTTGTAACTTCAAAACATTTGTGAGTAACAAATTACTGTGGCATGTGAGCAGAAGTCATGATATTAGCAATTTACATTACAAGTCAGTATGTTTTAATGTATCTTGAAGGGTGAGGCAGAGGGAGAGGCTGAGGGAGAAAAAGGTCAACAGGCAAGTTCAAGTCAGAGAGAGCAATGAGAGACAGATGAGCTGCAGCAAATGGATCGAGAGGCAGAGGAAAATCAAGTTATTAAGGAGAGCAAACAGGCCAAGAGAGGGAAAATGATGAAGCAGCTGCAGCAACTCATTCTACTACAGGGTTTGATTTAGGTGACAAAGACACAGGGCCTAGACAGGTAAAGCTGAAGAGCTATCCACATGATACTTTTGGTGCACAGAAGTGAGCATTTAACCACAGCTGGTTTGAAAAGCACAACTGGTTAGAATATTCAGTCAACCAGATTGCACCTTTCTGCTTCCCATGTAGAGTGTTTGGCAAAAACATCAACCATGATAGTTTGGTAGTAGCGGTTGCAAGAACTGGAACAAAGCTTTAGTCATCTTTGGCAAGCATGAGATGGCACAAACACATAAGGACAGTGTTGTTACATGGAAAAGCTACCAGGGAACTAGCAAACAGGGAAATGTTGCACAGATGATAGCAACTGCAAATGTGAGTGAGATAGTCGAAAGAAGAGAGTATCTCAGACGAATTGTTGCAAACACCTCTATGTTAGGGAGACAGGGACTCCCTTTTTGTGGCCATGATGAAGGTGAAGACAGCCCAAACGGAGGGAATTTTCTTCCGTGTGTGACCAAGTGGTCGGCGGGGTTATAAAAGAAATAATAAAATGACAACGCCAACTGGGGGGGAATTCTATCCCCCAGGAAATATGGACTTTAAAAATGAAATATAATTAAAACAACAACGTTTGCACAGGTTCAGGGATGCACACTGAGGCAGGCTCAAATATTAACACAATTTTATTTATTAACAAAAAAAAACAAAACAAAGCAACAAGGACAGCGCACTAAATGTCTAAAATGATGTCCCAAATTACCAAAAAAATAAACATACAACTGGGACTTACCAGCAGCGGTGGACCAAAAGAAAACCACACAAAAATCCCACTATAGTCTATTCACCTGGTGCTGTACAACAAAAGAAGTGTGGAAAACGACCCGCCACCTAAGGTCCCACGGCCGCTGGTAGATCCTCAGTTCGCTGAAATAAAAGCACAAGATATACACATTAAAAAGGATAAAAACATGGGACATAAACAGGCTCTCTATATACTAAAAAAGAAATTAAATGAAAAACGGAGATCTGCAATAAAACACACCCACATACACACCACAGAGCACAGATTGGAAATACTCGTACTCTGCGAGCCAGCCCACAGCTGGTGCTGGTTCCGATTGTCCGTAGCCCCACTCAGTCTCGCGCAGCTCTCCACAACTGGGAGAAAAGGGAGAGGCAGTACCAGTTTTGTAACACCAGCCCAATATGCAGCTGAAGATCGCCCCGACCAGCCGCAAAAGCTGGAGTGAAACGATAGTCCAAAAAGGGGCTTATCGTGAGACCCAAAGCCCCCAGAGGCGAGGCGAGGCAAGCAGCAGGAACAAAACTGGACGGCCAACAGATCGGAACACAAGACAAACAAGGCAAGACAAGACAGCAGCTAGGCAGGCGTCTCGACTCTTCGCTAAAAATCAGGCAGTTGGTCCCTGAGAGGGTGTGGCAGCAATCAAACCCTACAAACAAAAAAAAGGGCAAAGATAACCTTAATCTTCTCTAATTTACAAATACTAGCAGCTATAATATAAGCGGCTTACCCCAAGACTGGAGGCGCTGTACTGTACGGTGGACGCAACACACGCGTCTCTCCACCACGGCTGGAATAAAGAAAAGAGAAACAGCCGCGCTGTAGCGGGCCGCAGAAATATGACTACTAGTTACCGACTTTTGAGAGAAATCAGAGGTCAAAAGGAGGCCTACCTGTAGCAGTCACACAATCCGATCGTATCGGTAATTTAACCAATAGGCCAGCATTTACTGCTGTGTCGCACCAGAAGCTCGGGAGGAATGATCCAACAAAAATCCGGCTTCCCTTTATACAGGTAAACACCACCCTGTAATCAATATGCAGGTGGGTTCCTATTTAACCCAATCACACGATACAAGGAGCGAGTGCAGCGGAAAGAGAGCGAGGGTGGTAGAGCGAGCGAGAAAGAGAGAAAAAGAAGGGCGAGTAGCCCATCCGGCTACACGTGCATGGAGCTTTTGGTAAATGGTAAATGGCCTGTATTTGTATAGCGCTTTTACTAGTCCCGCCTAAGGACCCCAAAGCGCTTTACACACCCAGTCATCCACCCATTCACACACTGGTGGAGGCAAGCTACAATTGTAGCCACAGCTGCCCTGGGTCAGACTGACAGAAGCGAGGCTGCCATATCGTGCCATTGGCCCTTCTGGCCAACACCAATAGGCAGTAGGTGAAGTGTTTTGCCCAAGGACACAACGACCGAGACTGTCCGAGCCGGGGCTCGAACCGGCAACCTTCATATTATAAGGCGAACTCCCAACTCTTGAGCCACGATCGCCCCATCGATTGCCTCCCTTTTGAAAAAACATAATCCCCCATCAAATGCACATTATATCTCACCAACATTCCAGAATGACATGATTGACTGTTGTTCCCAGGAAGCTACTAGTGTCATTGTATCTGAAATGACAAAGTCTAAAGTCTATGCCTTCATGAAAGATGAGGCAAGGGATAAAAAGGCAGAGAAGTTAGCTGTTTGTGTCCGGTATGTGTCAGAGGGGCCAGTGAAGGTTTCCTTGCACTTGCAGAGATAAAACCATTTGATGCCCAATCCATTGCAAATGAGATTAGGCAGCAGATCCAAAACAATGGTCTTGCAGAGCTTAACCCTTTAAGACCTACCATAGAACCAAGTCCGCCAGAGCTTATATTATATTTTTACATGTTGTTGTGCCATTTTTGGGAGCATTTCAAGTTGCTATACATCAATACAACCATTATAGCCCAGATTCTAATAATGTGTCTGCATTAAGTGCATAGTAATTACATAAATTGAAAGAAAGTGCAATAAACTACAAAAAAATTGAAAATCGTTTTTGTTTTTTTAACATATATTTCTAGTTAGAGAAATTAAAGAGGCTTATCCCTCAAAACTGTAAATACAAAAAAGTTGCACAAAATAGTTTCTCACCACAGGAAATTTCTGTTTGCAAGTGTCTTCATAATTTTATTTTTGAAATACACCAATTTTCATATACTGCAGGAAAAACAAAAAAATAAATATTATGATGCAAATTTGCAAAAAAGCAGCATATGCATCAAAATAAACTATTTTCAGCAGTTCAATTTGACTTCTAAGCATCCCAGAAAGTCATAAAGTCGTTACTGTTAAAGAGTTTTGCAGTTTTAACATTTTTTCTGTCAGGTACACATGAATTTATTGTCACAGTGTGACGTACAAAGAAACAGTTTGTGTTTAGTTGTTGTGTAATAATATTGGGGTGCTTCTGTAGTACCTGCAGTAACTTAAATGTATTTTGTTCTGCAGCTGAAGACATCCATGTGCAGAGAACTGAAAAGATTCGCTTACGGACAAGCAGACATGAGAAGCAGACATGAGATCAAGAAGAGGCAGGTACAGCTGCTCTTTATTTTTTATCTCTGGACAGAAAAAAGCTAGCTGTTCACCCTGTTTACACCTATAATGCTAAGCTAAGCTAACCAAACCACATCATGAAAAAGGTTGTCAACTATCCTGTTTTAGCCAAAACATCCTTTTATAATGAAACTGGTTAGTTGCTTATTGTACCTTAGACATCCCGTATAGTAATAATTACTTGCAAAGTCACTTTCTGATCAACAGATGGTCCTCTTACAAATGCCAAATCTCATTTGACCATAATTGTATTACACAAGTACACGTTTCCAATTAAAGCTGCCAGTGACGGTTAGGTACAGCAGACGTGAGGAGTAATATGTGATTCGTAAAAATAAGGTGCTTTTTGCTCTGCATAGAATAATAAACTGGGTAACTGAAGCCTGTATTTACAGTATTTTATTTGAATATTTTTTTCTTTGTTGCTTATTTTTCACAGGAAAGGCACATGTGATTTCTGTTATCCCTGGCTGTATTTTTCTTTAATGTTTTATATAAGGTAGTGATTAAACTGAATACCAACATTTTACTTCATTTTATAAGAATATAAACATACACTGTATAGCTACACCACCTCCTGCAGGTTTTAGATATCACCCGGGGTCAGCACACCTGAATCAAATCATTAGTTCATTACCAGGCCTCTGGAAAACTTCACAACATGTTGAGGAGGTAATTTAGCCATTTAAATCAGCTGTGTTGGATCAAGGACACATCTAAAATCTGCAGGACACTGGCACTCGAGGCCTGAAATTGGTTACCCCTGATCTACACTATACACAGCTGGCTGTACACTGTGCTTCTCGCACATCAGTTTCCCTCATTTGATAGTTAAAATGTTGGCAACCCTACTCATGACTCAAGCTCAGAGTCCACTCCATGTTCACACTTCACTAGACTAAAGAGGGAAGAAGGTGTGTGGTTGGTTGAACTAAAAAGCTTGTAATCATGTTTCCAGATGTTTGAACTGTGTGTGTGTTTGTGTTCAGACGTTAAACCAGAGCCAGACGTCATCCACTCACCATTGAAGTGTCCCACCAGTTCAACCACTGTCGTCCAGCTGCTGGTCTCTAACTGGTCCCCCAGTCACCTCAGGCCAGGCCACATTCAATTGTTAAAAGGGAGAAAAAACTATGTTTTATGTCTTTTTTCAATGAACTAGACCTTTAATTATTCAAAAGTCATATTCTGTTTTTACCTGTAGTTTTAAATTGTTTCCTGTTTTCTTGTGCTGAAAAATAAGTGACAGCAATTTAAATAAGTTTATTTGATTTATGCTCTCTGAAATTTTAGTTATTTTTATGTTGTTCATGTTTGTTGGATGTCTACAGGCTCAATAAACTTTTATCTCACTTGCTTTTCTCATGTGGTTCAGTGGGTTTCAAAAAGGTCTCAACTGGAAAATTTGATATGTTACAGATTGTGTGTGGCTACCCTTCAGTGGCACACTTCAGTACAGAAAATGATGAACATTAAACCACAGGTGCAGACTAAAAATAGCAGGGGCATCATTCAGCTACTGTACGATGCAAAGAAAAGCTTCATTACAGGACATGTTTGTTTGAAACTGAAGAATTTGATCTCTTTATTTCTGTAGCCACCTAGAAACCTGCAAGCAGAAGCTGTCATGGTGAATACATTCATATTTTATTGAATAATTGTTGAATAAAAAAAAATAAAGAAACATCTCCGGTAGTATTTATTCAATTCAATTCCATTTTATTTATGTAGCACCAATTCAAAACAACAGTTGCCTCAAGGTGCTTTATATTGTAAGGTAAACCTTACAATAATATATTAAGAGAAAAAAACAACAATCAGATGACCCCCTATGACTTCCTATTGTTGCCAAAGCAACAATAGAAAGGAAGAAACTCATTTTTAACAGGAAGAAACCTCCAGCAAAACCAGGCTCAGGGAGGGGCGGGGCCATCTGCTGCGACCGGTTGGGGTGTGAGAAGAAAAACATGAAAGACATGCAGTGGAAGACACCCAGAGATAAATAAGTATGATTCAATGCAGACAGGTCTATTAACACATAATGGCTGTATCCCAATTCAGGGTCTGCAGCCTTAAAGGCCGCATTTTAAGGCCGATTACGTCACCGCGACACGACAAAGGCTGTCCCAATTCAAAGGCTGCTCAAAATGCGCCCTCAAATGCGTCCTTCATTTCCCTGAATTTTAAGGATGTGGCGGTGTAGACTTC